GCAGCTATTGTAGTATGAATACTATTATTTTTTTCGTGTCCTTTTGAACATTAAATGATTTAGTGTTTAGTGGATCACGGAATCTATTTTCGAAACACTTACCAACAATGGTCCAATTTCCTCCAAACAAGTTACGACTTAAGTACGACTTTCACGCACCTTCCGTTAAAACTAACCTCGTTCTTGTTGTTGCAAGGAACTTTGGTCGCCACACCACCGTCTTTTCTGGCCATACATTTTCCTGTACGAGATAGATAGCCATTCTTGCACGGTTTATCTAGCATTTTTTGGGATCTATAGTTCGCCCTATATCCAGTGATCAATACGACGCACAGAAAACACACGGACAAAATTAACAAAAGTTTCATGTTGATACGTCGAATAGAACTTAGTAATTGCGGTACTGTTTCAAGATATGTCGTTTAAAATCTATAAATGTCGTGGCAAAAGGAAGTGAGCCGGTCAGTTATCTTTACCGCTAAATACTAAGTAATCAAGAAACGGTAACTGATGAATATTGTATACAGGGTGTAACTTTAAGTGGGGGTCAGTTACATGCTCCCCTGAACACGAATCTGAAATTATTATAATTTTTTAATCAAATAAATAGTCGAGTCGTAATTTGCTTTTTAAAATGCACTTTCGTTCTGGTGTACACGCCGGCCCTGAGAATTTGTGTGTGAAGTTGCGTTAGTGATGCATATCAACGTTGCCAATTGTTTTAAATCAATCTACATTGTGGGCTGTGACAAAAAATAATTTAGCAAAACACACTTTATTTGTGTAACTTAGCAAGGTGTCATGTTAAAGTCACAATATTTTTTTGATATCGCTGTGATCGAACATTAAAAGCAAAACATTCTATCGTTTCTAAAAAATAAAACAATCATTTTTACTAGTCCGCCATTATTCGAGTTATTTATAAAATTCTTGGCTTCACTCAGATCCACTGTGTGTCCTGTGTCCGCCCTATGCTCTGCTACTGCCGATTTTTCTCAGTTGTTATTTTTGAGGTGACTTCTGTGTTCTTTTTATCACACACACACGCACACACACGCACACGCACGCACGCACCCGCCCCGCACACACACACACACACACACACACACACACACACACACATACCCTCCTTTCCCCTCGACTCCCGCTAGCCTAAGGGCCACCTTAGCAAAGCGCATCCCAGGCTGCATAGCCGCACTACCTTACCCAACCATACCACACATAAACATGACACCACCCCCAGGGTTTACACAGACGAGCCGCCGAAGCAAGAAGAGCTCCAGAAGAAAGGGCCTTAGCCGGCGGGGCCCAGCCAGGACTCAAGAAGGTCCCACAAAGAGCCTACACCGACCGCATTTGCGGTCCGGGTAGACGACGGATGGGGCCCACCTACGAAGGCTGTCCAGGCCTACACGAGATGAGGCAGGATAAAGAGGGATNTAGACGGGTTAGGATAATTTTTTCTACCACTTTGCTCATAGCCGGGAGCAGGCTAATGGGCCGGTAGTTGGATGGGATGGTGTGATCTTTGTTGGGTTTTGGGATAAGGATTATGTTTGCTGTTTTCCAGCGGATAGGGAAGTGTCTTAGTCTGAGTGGATAAAGAGGGATAATCCCCCTCGATCCCAAATTATTGAGGCCAATTTCTAGCCACGGAATAATGGCGCGTGTTTCTCAATGGGTGTATATCTTCTCCTGATAGCTCGTTTTATATTTCTCGCCTTGCAGCCATTCCTTCTCAAGGCCGTGCGTAGGTGATCTAGTTCTTCGGCCAAGTGTCTTGGCTCGCTGATCCGCGCTCAATGAATCAAGGTATTTATGATCCCCTGTTTTTGGGCTGGGCGGTGGTGGGACTGTGCATTCAGATACCTATCTGTGTGAGTTGGCTTCCTATATACTCGATGTCCTAAAGTGCCATCTGGTTTCCTCTCCACCAAAACATCCAAGAAGCGGCGTTTTTCTCTACTTCCATGATAAACTGGATATCTGGATGTATCTCATTGATGTGATAAAGGAAATCCGCTACGGTGTTGCGTCCGTGGGGCCAGATGATGAAGGTGTCGTCAACATATCGTTGAAGCCTAAATGCTGGTACACATGTCTTGTCCTGGATATCTCGATATCTTTTAATCTCTCGTTTTGAAATTTTTCACAACTAAGAATTATTCAAGTACTTAAATAATCTCAATAATACAATAACAAACCGGAACTTAAATGCATTAGAAATGTCCTAGCTTTCAATATAATAAAATTCAATTGTTGATTTAAATTTAATCATTGTTTTTAGAAGACAAGTTAAACAACCTTGGTTAGTTCTGTTCAGTAAAATCCAGATGGCAGTGCCAATGAAGTGTGTTTATTAATAAATAAATGTAAATATCTATCTGGTTTTAGGGTAGAACATTGTATAATCATTGTTTTCTTCTAAAAACAATGCTCTAACGTAAAAGCACATAGACATTTACATTTATTTATGAATAAACACGCTTCATTGGCACTGTCATCTGGATTTTACTGAACATAACTAACCAAGGTTGTTTAACTTGTCTTATAAAAACAATGATTTAATTTAAATCAAGTACAAGTGTTACAGCGATCCCAGTGGTAGCGACGAGAAACGCAATTATCGAAAGCCACGGCCAGATATAAGAGTTCACTCTTATCTCTATATTTTCCTTTCTCCATGGTTTATGTTCACANTGGGGCCCACCTACGAAGGCTGTCCAGGCCTACACGAGATGAGGCAGGATAAAGAGGGATAATCCCCCTCGATCCCAAATCATTGAGGCCAATTTCTAGCCATGGAATAATGGCGCGTGTTTCTCAATGGGTGTATGTCTTCTCCTGATAGCTCGCTTTATATTTCTCGCCTTGTAGCCATTCCTTCTCAAGGCCGTGCGTAGGTGATCTAGTTCTTCGGCCAAGTGTCTTGGCTCGCTGATCCGCGCACGATGAATCAAGGTATTTATAATCCCCTGTTTTTGGGCTGGGTGGTGGTGGGACTGTGCATTCAGATACCTATCTGTGTGAGTTGGCTTCCTATATACTCGATGTCCTAAAGTGCCATCTGGTTTTCTCTCCACCAAAACATCCAACAAGCGGCGTTTTTCTCTACTTCCATGGTAAACTGGATATCTGGATGTATCCCATTGATGTGATACAGGAAATCCGCTACGGTGTTGCGTCCGTGGGGCCAGATGATGAAGGTGTCGTCAACATATCGTTGAAGCCTAAATGCTGGTACACATGTCTTGTCCTGGATATCTCGATATCTTTTAATCTCTCGTTTTGAAATTTTTCACAACTAAGAATTATTCAAGTACTTAAATAATCTCAATAATACAATAACAAACCGGAACTTAAATGCATTAGAAATGTCCTAGCGTTCAATATAATAAAATTCAATTGTTAATTTAAATTTAATCATTGTTTTTAGAAGATAAGTTAAACAACCTTGGTTAGTTCTGTTCAGTAAAATCCAGATGGCAGTGCCAATGAAGTGTGTTTATTAATAAATAAATGTAAATATCTATCTGGTTTTACGGTAGAACATTGTATAATCATTGTTTTCTTCTAAAAACAATGCTCTAACGTAAAAGCACANCGATTTTCAGTTTATTTTCTTCGTAAAGAGTTATATTATCATGCTGTTAAAAAATGTTGACGATTTTATTAATTTTAAGGATCAAAAAATGACTGAAAAAGTTGCACTTTTTTGGGTATGTTTTTTTCATATTACTATTTCAATTTTTATTTTATGAAAATGACTTAAAGAAACAAAACTAAACATTTACGGGTCAATTTTGCTTCTAAGGCGAAAATGCTATAATATTCGTGTTTAGCTACCCCAGATTAAGTACAAAAAATAATAAAAATTGAAATACATTTTTATAAACCAACCATTCCTCATGGATTTTTGAGGTTACGTGTTCTGCAATGTAGCTTATTTCTAGCTATATAAAATTTTATTTTGCTACCATTTATGAAATACCTAACTGGGAATACACCGCTTTAGCGAAAGAGCAATTGATTGCATAAGAGTGTCTTTTGTGTAAAATTAAATTCTGATTAATACGTAAACTTATAATGCAGAAGACCTAACTTGAAAAAAGGTGTAATGTTAAAATGTCACTGAGGAAGACCGAGACTTTTGAACCAATATTTTCAAAACTTAATTTTAAAAAATCCTATTTCACACCCTGTATCTCAAGATAAAATCGCCGTATATTTTGGTGTTCTGTCAATCCCTAAACCTATGTTCCTTTTTTTCAAAACAGTCTGCGTGTATTAAGCGGAGTGTTTTCAAAGTATCATCTAAAATATTCCAAGGTTATGTCATTCTAAGGAAAAAACTTCACATAAATGTAAACATTTTGATTATGTATATATTATGATTTTTTTTAATTTTTGATGTCATGATTTTTTTGTGTTAAAATTTTATTACGTAATTGTCTCATCAGAAGACATCTTTTTTTGAAACCAGTATTTCATCACCCTATCTGAGGTGGAGTGTTGTCCCAATTGTCCGCTACTGATTTCTTTAACTTTATATGCATCTTTTGTCTTGGTATTTTTTCATTTGAAGACTATTCTAGAAGAAAACATGATTTTATTAAAAAAAGAGCAAGTGGTTTCTGTTATTTTTCTTTTTAATTTATTCGTGCTAATAAAAACGTTCGCATACTTTTTATTTGTTGTTTTTATATATCGATCTCGTTCATATTTAGTTTTCTTATGTATTAACTTTTAATTAAAATTAATTTCATTCAAATATATTCAGTTGATAAGAAAATATCTAAAAGTTTGAAATGACTGATAAATTGATAAACGTTATCATTTACCGGTATAGTTACTGTCTACTTTTTTCACCTTGAATAAAATTTATAGTTACATGGATTTCAGTTATCAAAAACCAAATAAAAAGATCATTTTATGACTCATTTTTAATAGCACAATTGCATCGTCTGTATTGCTTTATTATTTTAGTGTTAAAAGAGAAGAGGAAGTCTGTCAAGCCGTCTTGATGTGTTTTAACAGCATACAGTAGAGACTTGAGCATACTTATTTAGATAATCTGGCTTTATGACACAAACTATTATCAAACTAAAGGTAGGTAAGTTTAACTGTTTTTTGATTAAAACCAATATTTTTATTGCGAAAATTTAGAATTATTCAACTTATAACTGCATGAAATTTTATAGATAATATGCATATGTTTTTCATTTGACCCAAAATTTATTCATATGCTAATTGCTGAAAATCCACCAAACTCTTTAGGAATTGTTACGTTAACCCCAGAAATTCAATTCTATGAGTTTTTCTTGTGAAACGAGTAGTTCCTGTATTATAATACTTATCTGGCACGTCATGTTTGATAGCGATGAATAGGAGGGTTTAAAAGGAAAAGATAAATCGAAATGATTCATTTTTCAAATAATACGAGTTATATTTTTTCTTGGAAATACCATAAGCAGATAGAAGTAGCAATAGAATTTTTTTTTTAATTCCGTGGGATCAACTTTCTGGGTTTTTTAAGTGAAGGTGACTCTCTGTAACTGGTACACATCTGAATTTAGATTTTTACCTTTATTTGGAATCATCAGCCTAAGCTTCATCGTTCTTCATCAAACGTCTACAGAGATTTTAGAAATGGTGTATTTTTTTTAATTTCTCCGTGTTTTGAAAACTATCAATCTGCAGACGCAGTTTATATTACCTCTTTGGTTTAAAATCGTTCAAAGAATTACTACCTAAAATTTCTATATGAAAGACATTTCACAATCACTTTATCATAAACACTGAAAACTAAAATGTAACAAAAACGAAATAGTGATTCTACCATTCCTTTTTCACCGAATTAACATGGCAGTTTGTTTTCCACCCGTTTACCATGCCATCGTATTATACCAGGTGTGCAGTCAACTGGTAGTAGTGCCTTTTCAGAGGCAATACGGCTTTTTAACAATAGCGGAGGCTAGCCTCCACAATCCTTTGTAAGCGTTCAGAACAGTATCGGATTTTGTTTAAATTTAAACTGGTTGAACTATTGGCTGTTTTTTCATTTCATTTGTATTATTCGCAGTTTAATTTTGTTGCTTTTTGTTTATTTTTAATAATTCCAGTTAGCCTGGTTGAAACAAGAATTAAAGTGCAATTACCAATAAAGAACTGACCCCCCACTTAAAATTACACAATTTATGCTCGCATGTATTGTATACTAGTACATTATTTATTTTTTAGTTTATATGTATTTATAACATAACTTTTTATTATGTATTTCCCCATACTGTAATTGGGTTTGTTGGATGGTGTATGGAAAATAAATAAAGACATAAAAATAAGTAAATAGCAAAACAATCGCAAATACTTTGAGTGATGGCTTGTGTGAATGATGATTTTTTTTTAAACAGACTGACTTGTCTCATTAATTTTTAATTTTTATTGTTTCAAAAAAATTTTATTTGAAAATCGTTCTTACTTTTTTAAGTTGCATCCTGTTAAAAGAAAAATACCAACTAAAAATATACAGGGCGTTTCAGGATTAAGTCGACAAACTTTGAGATATTCCTCATAAAAAAATTTGAAAAAAATCAAGTATAATTTTTTTTCCAGAGACGCTTCATTTTCGATATATAGGGCGTTAAAGATTTTTTAAAAAATTCAAATTTTTTAAATAACTTCTAAATGAAAAAGGCTATTTAAGCCAAATTTGGCATGACACATCTTATAAGATACCATTTTTCCATAGAAGTAGAAGTCCCGCAAGCAACCAGTGGCGGAGTTATGGGGATTGTTATTGACAAAAAGTGTACATTCACTTTTTCCGAACTCATAGTTTCATGGCAGAATTGTTTTCGGAAGGGTGCTTCTGGATTCTGTCGATAAACTTTAGGAAGACGTTCCTCATAAAACCTAAAAATAGTATATTATGTTACTAGGAGTAGAAGGCGATCATTATGTGTTGAGCCCAAAAGTTTGCTCGCCGAGGCGTTAGCCGAGGCTGAGCAAATTGGGCAAAACACATAATGAGCCTTCCACTCCGAGTGACATATACTATTTTTTCTTCAAGCGTGAATATAAAAAATTACTAATTTTGAAAATTTATAGCGGATAACGCGATGTTCAATCTCAGCACAAAATAAAATCAGTAGGTAGGTAATACTATTTATTTTATACATTTTATACATTTTATTGATTAATTAAACATGACAGTTTTAACCACTTTATTCATGAATAAAAAAACAAATGTAACAATTATTTTTCTTTAATTTGAATTAAACGAATAAACATCTAAATTACCTACATGTCTATCATCAAACTTTATTTATTAACATGAATATTAAATGTGCAATTTTGTATGGTACAGTTGTTGATATTTAAAGCGCTGCTGGCTGTCTTTTTTTCAAAGTTTACAGTTCTGTCGTTGAATACGTTACTTGTAATAAGGTTCTCAGTTTCAGTGTTAACAATTGTACCATTATTAACAGAAAAGTCTTCGATTAAATTATTTTCAGGATCAATATTTACAGTTTCGCTTGATGTACTTGGTTCATTATACTCTAATGGGTTTAATATTTTCATCGCTATCTGTTTCTTATTGTTTACAGAATCTTCAATGTATCCTTCAGCGACGCTGGTAGATTTCCATCCACCATGTCGCTTTAGGGTTGTAATGTCTCCACCATTATCAACTAAGATAGTTGCCGAGGTTCTTCTAAGGCAATGCCCCGTATATTCATGTGGATTTGGCAACCTTAAAAATGATGCAACATCTTTTGGCACTTTTGAAATTTTATGTATGCCCATTACAACACGATGACAATGGCCATTTTGATATTTAATAAAAAATCTATCAAAAGTTATGTCTTTTGGCCGAAGAGTAGCATATTTTCTGTATAAATTTAAATAAAACTCTCCAATTATGGTAAATGAACGATGTTTTTTAGTTTTTGTATTGGGAATATTTACTAATATTATATTTCCCAAATCTTTTACATCATTAACTTTTACTTGAATGAGTTCATCGCATCTACAAGCTCCTGTGACTCCAAATATTAGTGCAACCTAAAAAATATAGAATTATTAATTTTGTAACAATAAAAAAAGTTGGAAAATGCAAGGAAATTCTAAAACATGACGTAATTTTAAGACATCTATATTTATGAGTTTTTACAACATTCTTCCAATGAGCTATCTTTATTTCCGAAAATTGTTTATTATTCTCGTAATGGATACTATAAAATAACTTGAAGTTTACAAATTATAACAAAATTTTGTATTACAAATATAAAAAGGTTAAATATATATCTACCTATAATTTAAAAAGTACATACCTTGGTTGCTAAATATTTATCATCAGGTGCTTTATTCAGGAATTCGTCAAATTCTTTTTTAGACAAAACTTTCGACTTTTTTGGTTTATAATTTTCACCTTGTCGTTTCAAAAATGTAATTAATTTTGAATATTTCTCAATATTTACATTGTGTTCTATGTTTAATTTAGATTTTACCATTGAATATTGCGCCCATAAAGTTGAACTTTTCAGTGTTCTGGATAATCTTGTAAAATATGCTATCATCACATTTTCTGAATAAATATGTGCATTATTTTCTTTTGCCCAATTTATGAATTTATCATAAGCATTTTCATAAATTTTTCTCGACTTTGTTGGTATAAGTGTTGCCACTGATGTATTTGCAATTTCCAGTAATTCTGGTGGTGTGCACTGCATTTCTTCAGACATTTTAAAAACGACCCGACGCGACATCAAATTTCAACTGACACTTAATGAAACGTCAAAGCTTCTTGAATCTTTAATTCGTTGCTAGGATACTTACCTACACATTGTTACATTTTTTTACTAGTTAAAAAATGAAAAATATTTGTACTAGTTAAACAATAGGCTGCTTCTAAAGGAGGTGTTGCACTATATAAGTATTATTATACGCTTGAAGAAAAAATATAGTACCTATTAAATTTGGTCTTATTGTTAGCCTCGAGTATGTGTGAGTCAAATAAGCCTTTCTGTCTCCCCTTCCCTTGGGTTTAACCAATAATATTAAAATTATTTAGGAGATACTTCATTTATTTCATTCATTCATTTCGAAAATGAAGCGTTTCTGGAAAAAAAATTATACTTGATTTTTTCTTATTTTTTTATGAGCAATATCTCCTTAAAGTTTGTCGCCTTAATCCTGAAACACCCTTTATATAAAGTTAGCCTAGCAAAATGTGAAATAATAAAAAACGTTCATATTTCTTGCAGTTTTAACTTCACGAAAATGGAGAACCAAAGGTACGATAAGGGCGGCAGCGCGGGAAGCAAAGGGGTACAATTCCAAGTCAACCTATTGACCGTCTTTCTTCTCAACGCTTTGAGGAGGCTGTCGGGCTGGAGGCTGTCCACGGAGGACAAGCGAGCCGGCAAATTCGACGACGTGGTTCTGGAATGGCCAGGAGGCGCCGTACTGCTGCAGGCGAAACACAGAGAGAATAACAAAAAAAGGATCACCGCGGACGACCTGATGTCCACAACCTCGAAAAACAACGACTTCAGTCTTCCCAAGTACTTCTTCTCATATCAAGAAATTAAGGATAAATTTACATTGAGAAATGTTATCGTTTGCACCAACGCCGGCGTCAACCAGAAGGCTTTCAAATATTTAAAGCCTCAGGCGGACTCTCTTGAGAGTATGTTACACTCTGGGGATGATATTGTATTTTACTCATTTAAAGAGGAGAATTTGCCTGAATTGATAGAAAAAACAAAGATTTACCGTGAGCAGAATTTGAAGAAATTGACGAATCGGTAATCACCGACGAAAACGTGAAGGAATATCTGGAACACCTGCAATTATTCTTTGACTATCCTCCGGGAAACGACTTGGGAAGTATCGTGGAAAAGTTACTACGAGAAACTAGGTGGCACGGCAAAGTATCCCTTTTGGAAGTATACTGTAAAATAATGGATTGGTTCCAACAAAAAGACGGGGAATATCTAAACGAGGCTTACGCGAAGGCGATATTTTCCGAAATAAGAAGAGACAAATATTGGCAGGCGTTGGAAGGTTACAACGTTTTTCTCCGAGGCGATTCGAATTTCCAAGATTCAAAACGGATATACCGCTTCGTAGCCGATAACGCCTGTCTGTTGCAAGAAATAAGGGCGTACCGCTCTTTGCGAGGTGCGGAAAAGAAAGTCCTATGCATCTATCCGGATGATAGCGTCGAAGATCGGATGCAGCTAATCGAAGCGTTTGGTCTACGCCATTACGTCTACTTAATAATCGTTTGGCCCGAACTGCAAGAAGAACCTCTAGTAAGGGACGTACGCGACAAAATAGAAGAAATCTTAAACAAGTACAAGTACAAAAAAGTCATATTGTTAACTCGACGCGATGACGCATTGTTTCAAGGGATTGAATTAAGCCGTGATAGTATCGATGTTCCAAGAGAACCCCCGACATTCCGAGATCTTTTAAAAGAGACGCAAGACGGGCTATTAAGGAAGAAAAACGTAATTTTCCAAGGAATCGCCTTTACCTTGGAAGACCTCCTTGCTCCAGAAACGGTCGAAGATTACAACGCAGAAATATTGGAGAGACTAGTGAGAGGTGAAGAGATCAAAGTAGGGTCAAAGTTGGGGCTTTTAGACGAAAGTATTAGGCACCTCTACGTATACCGCGACATCATCAGGAAAGGCGAGAAGAGGAAAGAAGACGACATCTTTAATGTGAGAGAGAAAGCGATATTAATTTCCGATAGTGCGGGTACCGGGAAAACCACGATCGTCACTAAATTAGCGACGGTTATAAAGGAAAAATATCCACACTTGTGGGTGATCAGAATCGAACTCAGTCATTATTCAAAGATTTTAAAGGGTTTGCACAGAAAGAAAAGGAAAACGATAAGTATAACGGAACTGCTAAATTCTCGAAAGACAACCGAGCTAGCAAACCCGTTGGAGAAGTTTATCTTTTCAATGAACGGCAAAGTGGTGTTGATGTTAGACGGGGTGGACGAAATCGGCCCCATTTACACGAAACTCATCGGTAGCCTTCTCGTCGATTGCCTGAAAGCCCCCAACCTGGCCAAAATTCTGGTTACGACGAGACCGCACTTGACCAGGGAATTGGAAGAACAGCTGCAAGTGAAACCCTTTGCCCTGCGGCCGTTCACAAAAAGAAACCAGTTAGATTTCCTCACAAGTTACTGGATACACAACCTGGAACTGGACCCCGCCGTTAAAGAAAAGTGCGAAATCTACGCTAAAGCGTTGATAAGCAAAATGTCGTCTTGGACGAAATCGAACTCCGGAGAGGCAAACCAGCTCATGGCGGCTCCGTTGCAGGTGAGGATGCTCGCGGAAATCTTCCAGGAGGAGAACGGATGCGACGAGGCGGTGGATTGGGAGGGATGTAAGGAATTTTTAATGGCGGATAAACCGGAACCGAAACTACCGAAAAGAATCGACATATCGAGTTTGTACGAGATGTTCCTCGAGAAGAAACGAATCGATTTTATAGACAAGAGCAACCCGAGCGGGATCGCGGCGGCGGAACAGGCGCTCACCGACCAGTGCGACGAGTGCGTCGTTTACCACCAAACTTTGGCGTTGGAGGCCATCCTGGAAAGAGCGCAATGGGAACTCTTCACTTGTTACAAGGAGGGTAGCGAAAAGGTGATAGTGTACGTGTTGAAGCTGGGAATCGTACAGGAAGTCGACGACGGACTGCATTTCCTGCACAGGACGTTCGCGGAATTTTTCGTCGCCCGATGCCTAGTGAAAGAATTGCAGCGTCGAAATGGAAACGCGGAGTTCCAGAGGTTCTTGATCGACGAGATTTTACGTAGTTTCGATTTTAAAGTTATCCGGAACTTCTTCGACGGTTTACTTAAGGACTTCGTGGACGCCTTACCTCGGGATATCTTCCAAAACTATCGGTCTCTATCGTACGAGGCTGAGAAGAACCAATACAATTTCGAGTACCTGGTACACGACCTAGCAGCAGAAGGTTGCGTTGCTATACTTCAACTTCTACTGAAATGCGTGAATTTCAAAATTATCAAAGGCAAGGAGACCACCATTTATGACCTTTTCAGACGATCTAATAAAAACGAAAAGCCTGGATTACATCTCTCTGGAAACAGGTTGGATATTTTGCGGTTCTTGGTACGACGGGGCGGCGTAAACATCAGGGACCACATGCGTCAGACCCCGTTGCATTCCGCCGCTCGCGAGGGTCAGTTAGAAATGGTGAGGTTCTTGGTTGAACGAGGTTCGGATATCAACGTTGCGGACAGGGAAAGGTGCACCCCCCTGTACGAGGCCGCAAGGGGCGGTCACTTTGACGTCGTGAAATTCTTGGTGGAGCAAGGGGCAGTCGTTAAAGTGAAATTAAAACAGCGCGGGAACGAACTGCACGCAGCCCTTAGCAGGAATCACGCTGATATCGTCGAGTACCTTTTGGAGCGAATGTTAGAAAAAGAATTTGATTGCTTAGACGCAAACTATTCCATGATTCCTTACGCGGCGGCTTATCTAGGCCGACTAGACATCCTGACGACTTTAGTAGGAAGGGGCTTGGACGTCAATTGTAGAATAACGAACGGAAAGTCTCTAATTTTTGGCGCAGCAGCAGGAGGGAAATTAGAAACCGTGGAATATCTCGTACAGCAAGATGCCGACATCAACTGTAAAGACGAGCATAATAACACGTTGCTTCACGCGGTCGCAAAAAGGCCTTCCTGTACCTGCATCGCAAAGTTTTTAGTGAAAGCGGGGATAATCGTCGACGTGGAAGACGTTGACGGGATGACGGCTTTACATCGTGCTGCCGAAGCAGGCGTATTGGATACGGTGGAATTATTATTAAACAATGACGCTAACGTGAACAACAGAGACAAAAAGCATAACAGGACTGTCCTAAGCACGGCCGCACGGAATGGTCACGTGGAAATCGTCGAGTTACTCGCGGAACGCGGAGCGGATATTAACGTTAAGGACATCCGTGACAGCACCGTGCTGCATTTGTTCGCACAGCGGGGCCGATTAGACGCTATTAAGCGCCTTGAAAAATTTAACTTAGACGTTACTGTGAAGGACAATAACGGGCGCACAGCCCTGCAAGTAGCCGTTTTAAACAAACACGCGGATGTCGTCGATTTTCTCGTGGATCGTAACTCGGACGTTAACAGTAGAGACAGTGATGATCGTACAGCGTTACATTTAGCCTTTTCGGCGGGTACGGGTCAGAATGTACTACAAATAAATCATAAAGATGTTGTGGTGGACGTGGAACCTCATGACGGAAACGTCGATCACAATTCCGTTCATTCCGTTATTTTATCACAGTTGGATATAGTCGGGAAGCTTGTGGAAGGCGGCGCAAATGTTAATGCGACAAACGGTACCGGCCGAACTGTATTGCACGTAGCGATTTTACGTTTTACGTTAGACTTTGAACGTTACCCGTTTATGGCAAACTGCGATCGTTGTTCGAGTGTCGTAAAGTTCTTAATCGGAAGAGGCGCAAATGTCAACATCGAAAACTGTAATGGGGACGTGGTGACTGTACTGGCCGAGGAAGTACAAGGGTGCAATAAGTATTATTCGGGGAAAAGTTTGGAGGATGTCTTGCAGTCGCATGTTTTCAAGCTACTTGGGTCGATGTCACTGAATAATAAATCAGAAGAGCGTGCAAGCACCGACGGCGCGTCTCTTGGTTCAACTTGTATTGCGGGGACATCTCAGCTGACGGTCAATATGCCTCTTTCAGAAAAGGAAGCCGTTTCACTTCTAAAGCGAGATAATGAAACGACTAACCAAAACCCTCTAGATGTTCCAAAGCAACAGTCGTACTATGAGTGACTACAGAGCCTCTATTAAGGTGTACAATGTAAATTCAACGGTAAAGTCAATTTGTTCGATTTTTTTTGCGCTCGCACGTGATTTTTCACTATTTTTTGCTAATTACTCAAAATTTTGAAGGTGTTTGTGCTAAAGCATTTTAGATTCGGATTCAGCAAGTCAAAATACATACATTGCCAACTGACTGACTGTCAAATCAAAGGTACAAACCAGTTTTTTTTGTGCGCCAACAATGTAATTTTTTCATGATTTATTAATTATTAACTACTACCAGTATGTAGATACGTATGCATGTTTTAAAGTATTTATTTTTGTAGTTTTATAGAATGTACATAATAAAAAATAAATAAAAATATTTGAATATGCTAGGGAAAAGATGTTTGAAAAAAAAATGTACTAAGAGTTTTGCGGCGGCTTTGTTGCCCTTACCTTTGAGGGTTTCACTATGTTGGCTCACTCGCCTGCAGCAGGAACTAGCACCCTTGCATCAATTTTGTGTATCACTTATATGTACCATTAGTCCAAATTTTAGATCTCAGTTGCGTATAGTTGCGTACTGTCTTGGTCAAAGCTCTTTCACATACACACACTTTTAAAATTGAATGTAGACTCTTCTCCCCCTCATCGAGTCTTTTTCCCCACCCTCGGTTAGAGGACAAGGACAACATGAAATTAAATCGCGGAACGCGCGGTGATTTAAATAAAAAATAAATTAAGAGAGAAACGCAAACAATATTAATAGAGCAAGTTAAAAGTACATATTTGTTACTATTTTTTTAAAGAATTGTATTTAGTTCGTGAATCTCAAGGTGAATGACCTCTGACCCACTTTAGATTAAATATTCTACAAACTCTACATACTCAAATGAAATAAACAATTAAACAATTGCAAGCAGGCACGGCGCGGCGTCTTCATAAAAGTGCACAAGGATGTATTTAGGAAGTTACTATTAAAAAGTTATAAAATTGTAAACAAAATACTAACTGTTTTTAAGTACTCTTTATTTCTTATTCAGTTCCTTTATCAGTTGAATCCGTACTAGACATTTTAAATTAATCCAATAGCAATAAAATTAACCTTATAAAGTTATTTATTTCCGTGTTTGTGTCTTCCTTTTCAAGGTTATGTGTGATATGAGAAAATAAGTATATGAATAAAAAAGAATAGACTCATTTAGTGTGACGTCACATATTTAGGCAACCCGCAACGAGTTGTCATAGTTGAAATTGTACAGACCGAATCTGATCCTTGTGTACTATTTACATAGATTCTATAAAAATGAATAAAGCAAAAATTTAACATTAGCCGTGTTATCCCTCATGCGCGGAAAGAATAGCCTCATAGGCAGGTGAGATCTTGTTGATATGTTATCGCTGTCATCATTAACGTATTTTCTCTTGTTTTGTTTAATCTTGGCATATTATACTTCTACTAAGTATTTTTATTGTCTTTCTTGGTGTTGTACTGTGTCAGTGTGTTTATCGAGTGTTTTTTTTCTTCAAGTGGCTTATTATAGACGTACTCTTAACCATAACAAAACTTTTGATAATGATATCCTGTTGCGAGGCTATTTCGCTTACATGAAATTATCTTTAATGCGCATGCTCAGTAACATTGATATAATTTTAATTTATTAATTACTATAAGTCAATATAAAAATTCTCTAATTCTTTTAGTTTGTCACTTGAGGCTTGAAACTTTTTAAATACATATTTCTAATATTGCCAGAATATCGCAATATTTAAGGTCATGACAAAAAAGCCATTTTTTTAGCACTTATGTCTAATGTAGATAAGGTCGAAAATCGATCTAGTAGAAATATTGAGAAATTCTTCATAACAATGTGCACTTTATGGGGTTGCCTATTATTTGGCGTATGTTGACGTCACTACTAAAAAGGTCTCTATACCAAGCGATACGTACTGAATAAGAAAATAATTATTGTAAAATTAATTCAACATCAACAGATTGTGTGAGCTTTTTTAACTCCAGTACGCTCGGCAGAACGTGGATCTTAATAAGGTAGATTGAGATATTCTATGATTGTGATGTGTTGAGGCATGTTTGGACAATAGAGGAAATTTTAAGCATACGCTGTAAAAATCGGGTGAGTAAATTGGTTATTTACTTATTTTTATTTATTTCATTTTATCTTTATTATGTTTAATGCATGAGTTTTCAGTTAGATGACTTGTTATTCTTTTACTGTTTATTTTATTTAAAAGAATTAAATATTTGTTTATGTGGGATAATAGGCCTCCCCCTAAAACTCTCCAACTCTTTCTATGAGCTCATTTCATTCGTTACAAAATCTCTAAAAAGGTTGGTAATATATTTAAGTTGCTACAAAAAGACACCAATGGTGATCGTCAGTATACAGCACGACCATTCAGTCCAACAAGATGGTGGATCAAATCTTTAAAAACAATATAAGTCTATATCTTCTTCTGTTTCTTAATGAGAAGTCTAATGAAAATACTGAAGCAGCGGGTGGCTAACCTAATGTTTATCTTGCGAGTTTGTATCAATTTCAGTGTTTACTTTTTTTTTGAAATACATGATTTCTTATGCGTGATAGAGTTGAGCAGCTTTAATACTGTTTTTTCAGCGCAAATCATTATTTTATCAAATTGTACATGGGAAACATATGCCATGAATTAATTTTGTACATGCATGAAAAGTTGTGATATTGTTAATCCATAAGACGTTCATTGAAGTCCATCTGGAGTTGTAACGGATTAACAGGTAAACAATGGATGTACAGAATATCCAGGGCAGCCAGCTGTAGGATGAATGTGTGCTGTTTGGGTTTATAGATCAAATAAAAAAGTAAGAAGCGGATGTATTATATTACAATAAAAATATAAATGTCTCTTATAAAAAAAGAATACCTATGATATTTATAATATATTACCAAAAAACTATTCCGCAAGATTATGTACTGAAAAAAATGATTCAAGTATTAGACACTTTTATAAGATTTTTTAGCTACTGTTAGTAAAATATCAGAAAGAACAATAAAAATATATTGTTGACATGAGTATATGTGTTTGCGAAAACCAGTTTTCTACCACAACAAGGAATGTTTGGACTTTATTTAACACCTTGCTTAATTATATTTTATTCAATTGTCGATCCGCCCGAAGTGAGTTGTTTTGCTACGAGCTCTTATTTGTAGCAAATTAGGATTCACTAAGGCTTAACTTAAAATTTTCTGGATTAAACTGAAATTCGTCTTAGTGTACTCTTACTCCCGCCGTATTACAATAAAACCCCTCTATCCCGAGACCCAGTTTCGTCGCAGTCGACACAAACAGTCCATTATATACATTTTCCTGGTGAACAAATATCTAAGTACATGCAGCAATTAATTCTCTCTTGTCGTTTCCCATATCTGGGTCAACACACCTCGTTGAAGCTACAGAATACCATGACGTCTAACAAAATATCGATCTAATTCACTAAAAGGAAATATATGTTACTTTTTTAGTATAGGCAAGCTGGGGTTAATGGGTTGACTCACTTGAGGTAACAAAAATTTTTATCGAACCTTTACCTACTGCAAGTGAGCTCTATTTGCAAAGCATATTTGATTATGGTAAGAATGCAGTTCACTTGATCCTATTTAATTCAGATATTTTGCTACTCTCTGTAAATTTTTATTAATTGTAACAAAATATTCTCTCGCTGCTTTCCAATTGTCTTGGAACCGCTCCTGAAGTGTTCTACTGTTCTACTCTTTAAAACATTTCCGAGAGAACCTCGTCAGCATATAAATATTTCTCAAGTACTTGTTTTTATTATCGCGTGCCAAAAGCCAGAGGCAAATATACAGCAAATAATCTTTATGAAACATATTCAGAAATCCTAACCTCACATTATGTGGAAACGCTTTGAGAATACAAAACTNTCTTATTATCGCGTGCCAGAGACAATTATACAGCAAATAATCTTTATGAAACATATTCAGAAATCCTAACCTCACATTATGTGGAGACGCTTTGAGAATACAAAACTTTTTAGCAAAGGCGGTGCGCGAGGCAGCTGGAGAAAGCAAGCAGGAACACTTTAGGATTAAAACGTTTTAGCTTAATGGAACGTAAGAAGCCAGTTTGTAGTGTTCCCGAAGTTCTTCCGATGTACCTACATCGGAAAGCAGCTTACAATGTTCTTAGTCGCTTAACCGTCGTTTTTGTGTTCTATTCCGTGGCCCCAGATACCGAACTAAATCCGTGGAAAGCGGACGCCACAACGTGGCCAAATGCAGAGCCGTAAGGCCGTCGTTGTCGCGGATCGTAACGTCTGCACCAGCCTCCACAAGGGTCCGTACAGCGTTTAACTTGTGTTTGACAGCAGCTAGGTGCAACGGAGTGCGGCCCTCGACATCCCTTTCGTTAACGTCTCTAACGCGTTTAATAAGGAATTCTACGATATGCAACCGGTCTTTTTTCGCAGCTAAATGTAAAGGGGTGCGCCCTTCCCCATCTCTAGCGTTGACGTCCATACCGGCGTCTACAAGGAACTCGACGATGTCCGAATAATTCTTTTTCGCAAACAAGTGTAGAATTGTGCGACCGTCGTCCTGCGTAGTGTTAATATCGACACCGCATTCCGTAAGGAACCGGCCAGTGCTCGGGCGGACTTTCTCAGAGGCCAGAAGAAGAATATTGGCCCCTCCACTACCACTGTCTGGATCGTGTTCCGTGAAATACTTAAACGATTGCAGGCTACATTTTGACGCAGCGAATTGTAGTGCAGTGTCGCAGCCCTCCCTATATTTAAAATCGGTCCTTGACCCGTTTTGTAAAAGGAACTTGACGATGTTTAAGTTGTCTCGTGCAATGGCGGAATAAAGTGGCGGGCACTTATTAAAATCTTGAATGTTTACGGTCGCGCCCTTCCGCACAAGGTATTTAACAACATCCAGGTGGTCATTGTAGGCAGCTTCATGTAGCGCCGTCCTACCGAATTCGCCTAGGATGTTAATATCGCATCCCGCAAGTGCAGTTACAAACTTCAATTTACCTAGCTTTGCAGCCAGATGCAGCACGGTACGATTGATTTTGTCTCTAATATTTACGTTTGCTCCATTCTCAACAAGGAACTTAAATATGTCTAAGTAATTTTTCGAAACGGAAAAACGCAGTGCTGTATCTCCGTCACGGTCCCTGGCATTAACGTCGGCTCCTCGCCGCACAAGAAGTTTAACTGCGCCCAGGTCGTTCTCGCGGACAGCGAAATGTAATGCGGTATAGCCTTCTTTGTTTATAACGTCAGTATTGGCACCACGTGCTAGAAGATACTCGGCCACGTCTCTAAGGTCGTTTTCAATAGCCAGATGTAGGACTGTATACCC